AAAATGATCGAATAGTTAACGCGAATAAATTTTTTTACTTAAAAGGGTGGAAGGAAATGAAATATTGAAGAGATAGAGCCCAATGAAAAATCTCAAAGAATCACTGATCCTATGAGACACTTTGCATCCTTTTGTCGTTTTTAAGGGAACAGTATAAAGTTGTGGAAGAGCTTTTAAAATTGTGGGAAAGCTTGCTTTTATACGCAGGTACCCAATCCTTTGCTCCCAGATCAGGTAAAATGAAAAGTAAAAAATTGCAGCACGGATGGGTTTGTGTGGTGAGAGGTTCATTGCGCTGGGAGGATGAAATACATGACGCGTGTGTCGCACTTCGATATTTGCTTTTTGACACGGACGATAAAAAAGAGCACGTGGGTTCTTAAGGAAACAAGTATTTTATTCTGTTGATGAATTCGTCCACGATTGGCTGCCTTTCATCTTTCGTAACCAACCGACTGCACGCTGAATGCTTCGAGCGAGTCAAGTTATCACCACAGTGGTCGAACGATGTTCACGAAAAGATAACAGATTGCAGGATCCAACATCGTTTTATGCGAGTCAACTTGATATACCAATATCCCAACAGCTGAGTGTTTTGGGCGTGAGAGATGCCTTCTTGGTGAGGCTGGTCAGTAATCAAACCGGCGCTTTAGTGTGCTATCCGAGTCCAGGCAATGTGACACCTGAAGGACAACCTGTCTCAATGCTCTATTTGAGGGGACCAGTTAAGTCAATTTTGCACGCTCGGAGATATATTCAGGTGGATTGTTAATTACATTCAATGTTTCACATTGCTACATTCGGCCTTGTGCGAATTCAGTTTTTAAATTTGTGTACACTCCTTTGAACTAGCTTTTGAATAGATTTGATGATGACTGGAATGAAACTGTTGCTGTGCTCTTGAGCGAGAAAGATTCATTGATAGAAGGATTATACAGTCTCATTTGATCGTAAAATTTTTTACGAAACTTCAGGTCAGAATCCCCTCATAATACCAGTTGAAATTTCAGGGTTTACTGCCTGTGCAGTTATTTTTTGATATCGAAGGTTGTGATCTGCTCGAGAGGGTTGATCGGGCACAACGAAATATAACGAAAAGGGATGATATTTTTGGAGTCAACATCACGATTACAGCAAGTCGCATCGAAGGTGAACAAATCAGTGAGGATGACTTTATGCGGGTTGGTTTTCCGAAGAACTCATTTCCTGTCCTTTATTCAACACCTTAAAAAGACAAATCGGTCTCATACGTTTAGCATGAGAACATTGCTTTTGATGAATTGAGCTGATAAATTTGAAGATGAATCATTCATTGGTTTGAAGTAACGCCTTAATACCTTCAGCATATGGTAATGATAGAATCAGGTGAATTCAACCTGAACAATGTGTACGCATTTCGTCATACTCTCTATCGTCCTGGTGTCCTAAAAGAGCCAACAGTTATCACTGATCAATACAACTTCTTCGATCCACTCGTTAAAGAGCTGGTATTTGCGAATAATAAAGTGCTTTTTGAGGTTAGTTCAGTGACCTTTCCATATTCCAAATGCCTCCTTGAAACGCATCAGCCTAACTTTTTTGTGCACAACCACTAACTAAAGCAGGGAATAAAGGTGAAATGGAGTGTAAATGAATAGTTCATGTTGAAGAGGTAGAGCGTGTTTATTATTAATCAACGAAACAATTGATGTCTCTTACTATATATGACGAAATCAGGGCGACTTTGAAGTTTCAATCGTGCCTTAGATATTCGTTTTCTGAACAATTTAGCTTCATCATTTGATGTGCGAGAACGTTTCTTTTTTTTTCAGAGAACTCAGCATGTGTTCGAAAACTATCGAGCAAATACCATACCTTCACTTATCTATTTTCCTGTACATCCTGCAAACGGTAAACCATTTTTTTATCTTGTTAATTAGCACTTTTCCATTTTTCAATTATTGTTTACACGTATGCATGGAAATTATTGAATCAGATGGACAAAATTTTTGTTAGATGGCGATCCTAACTCGTAGTATGTTAGAGAGCTCATTGTATCGTTGAGAAGTGCAACATTACAAACTAATAAATTGATTACGATAGATGTTGCACTTTTTACCGAATTCAGTTGTTCCGTCGAATGCTAATTGGCATCAGACGGCAGGAAGGGCGTGTGCTGTGCCGTCGATCCCGCTCGTACAAAACAACAAACCCAGTGGTGTTTATCAACTTGTAAACGCGACAACTCACTGTGTTTGTCCAATTCATACTCCAGGTATTGTCGATCGTTTTCTTCTTCTGCACCCAAACGAAACATCGTTTGAAAATGACCCAACAAGATTTACTAACCATAAGGTAATCTCTGACAGTCTATTACTTTAACAAGAATATCGCTTCTGTTTGTTGTCAGTGTATTTGAAGATGTCATTGTGACTAAACTTCATCATTAGTTGTAACTTTCACGTATCTATCCCTGTTTCCGGTACGCTGTTGAAGAAAAATAGCCCAGCTGATTTGCTGAAAAACGTTTTTGTTTTGATGAAAATGAACCACTGGTAGCGCCGTCCACAAAAGAATAACTTAAATTGCTGTTGCTTTGTGCCGCTGAAAATTTGCTATAATGGAAAGCATCGCTACAGATTTCTGCTATGCTAAAAAAGTAGCGAGCTGCCGCGTTACCGAAAAAGATTAGCTGCGCTGGTAGCCGAATAGCAAATGCCGCGCTACTGCCCAGCACTGTCCATTTTTATTTCGTTTAGCACTGCGTTTCGTTTA